CTATCCAGTTCTTGTTCATTCTTCTCATGTCTGTCTCCATTTCTCGGCGTAATGTGTTCTTTGGTCTTCCTCTTCTCCGTTGACCTTCAGGATTCCATGTGAGGGCTTGTCTTGTGACGCAATTAGCTGATTTCCTCAAGGTGTGCCCAATCCACTTCCAGCGCTTCTTCCTGATTTCTTCCTCCGCTGGAATCTGGTTTGTTCTCTCCCACAGTAACTTATTGCTGATAGTATCTGGCCATCAGATCCGAAGTATTTTGCGTAGACGGCTGTTGATGAACACTTGTATCTTCTGGATAATGGCTTTCGTATTTCTCCATGTCTCCGCCCCATACAGTAGAACTGTCTTGACATTTGTATTGAAAATTCTAACCTTGGTGTTGGTTGACAATTGTTTTGAGCTCCAGATGCTTTTCAGTTGTAGGTATGCTGCTCTTGCACGCCGTAGTGTCGAAGAAGCCTCCATAGTGTTGTCCTGTCCGTTCTATCAAATGCCTTCTCGTAGTCGATGAAGTTGATGTAGAGTGATGAATTCCATTCGATTGATTGTTCCACAATGATCCGCAGAGTTGCGATTTGATCTGTGCACGATCTATCCTTTCGAAATCCAGCTTGTTGATCTCGAAATTGGGCGTCCACGGAATCCTTCATCCTGTTTAACAATACTCGGTTGAAGACTTTTCCTGGTATTGAGAGAAGAGTGATGCCCCTGTAGTTGTCGCACTTGCTGAGATCGCCTTTCTTTGGTATCTTGATCAGAAGTCCTTTTTTCCAGTCTGTTGGTACTTGTTCTTCGTCCCAAATCTTACTGAAGAGGATGTGGAGTATCTTGGCAGTTGCTGTTACATTTGCTTTCAGTGCCTCTGCCGGAATGTTGTCTGGTCCCGCTGCTTTGCCACTCTTGACTTGTCTAATAGCCATGTTGATCTCTTCAATTGTTGGTGGGCCAATATCGATTGGGAGGTTCATGGGTGCTGCTTCGATGTTGGGTGGGTTCAGTGGGGCTGGTCGATTCAAGAGTTTTTTGAAGTGTTCTACACACCTGTTTCGTTGTTCTTCAATGTCGGTGATTACTTTGCCTTCCTTGCTTTTCACTGGTCTTTCTGGCTTACGGTAATTTCCAGCAAGTTTCTTTGTTGTATCATACAATTGTCTCATGCTTCCCTCTCTTGCAGCCTTTTCCGCTGTCGTTGCTAAATCTTCCACATATATACGTTTGTCGGTTCTGATGCTCCTCTTCACTTGCTTGTTTGCCTCTGTGTATTCGGCTTGTGCCTTGGCTTTTTCCGCTCTGGTTCGGCTGATATTGATTGCTGCCTTCTTGTTCCTCCTTTCTTCAATTTTATCCAGTGTACCAACAGTGATCCATTCCTTGTGATGGTGCTTATTTTGGCCCAGAACCTCTTGACATGTTGAAACGACTGCCTCCTTGATACCTTTCCAGTTGCTCTCCATGGTAGTCCCCTCTCCATTGAGTAGGTCATGAAAGGCCTGGAACCTGTTGCTGAGGGCCTCCCTTTATTTCAATACCTAATAACCTCTGACCTTTCCTTGCCCATATATATAATATCATCGATGACTTTTTTTATTCCAATGCTTTACATTCAATTATGTCAATTGTTCCACATTATTTATTACTCCAACGATAAAACTCTAATGCATATTTGGTTGTAAGCAGCTGATGAGAAACCACGAAATATAATGAATTCATATTATTCTGCATCAATATTTGTTCTATCTTTATTTAAGTTACTGTAAGGTTTGTGCATGTTTATTGAAACCAACCTTTGAATTTGTAACAATGCATGCCGCAGGTGACAGCAAAGCGTTATTTAGGATATTCACAAGTGGTCTCAGTGGTCATGGTAAACTATAAGTTATCAAACAAATCAGAACATATATTTACGACTGTTAAAAAACAATAATTCCAAAATGGATAAAAATGGTCAGTATAAAATATCAGTACATACTGAAAGCAGCATAGATGTGAAAAACCGTAGAAAGTGGATAGTAAGCTGAGGCAAAACCACAGTTAAATAATAACTCAGGTAAGACTAAAAGAAAGTAGTTTCCAGAACGTCAAGCCCAAAGTAGATTGTTCGGATCAAAAATGTTACTTTCGTCAAGTAAGGTCACATAAGATGTTCGAGAAATGTGAGTCATTCTTGGACATTACTTCACATTCGTAAAGCGTGCTTGAATCATGACCTCTTTGCCAGTCGTCCGGTTACATGCGACAGTAAAATTGGGCAATGGTTAAAGTCTAGACAAGAGACTTGAGTCAAGGTTAAAATAGAAGACAGGGAAAAATGACAAAGAAATAATAAAACTGTTCGATAAAACACGTTAGAAGGATACTTAGCGTATTCATTCCGTTATCCTGGTCAACAATTTCCCTTCAGCTGTGTAAATACACTTCTCAACATATTCAGTCACGGCGTTCATGGCAGACGTGCCGACGTCAGTGGGGAGATCAGGGCATACGACAGTATGCCAGTTCACCCACCAACTAATCCTGGAACCAGTGATTATTCGGCATCAATCAGAAAACAAAGCATACGTACATCTGTTGTTATATATTCTTCTTCCGTATCTACCATCAGTGTTCTTACTAGATCTCCCTCATTTGTCTCCTTCGTATCAAACATCCTCATCAGTTATGAGCCACAAGTAGTAAAGGTGTTAGTCACCAGCACCAGTTCACCTTCTCTCAGTTGTTTGTGTTTGAGAAGCCATTTCTCTCTTGCTTGCATTAACAGAGCTTATTCCATCATATATCAATGCCAAATGGTATTCGCGAGGCAGATAACCTGCCTTAACCGCCTTAAATACTTATCCGCAATAATGTACTTCATCCTTAAACCATCACAACCTCCTAGTGGCGGCAGGTCATTGGCTGTAAGCGCTAAAACCTCGCTTTTATACGATGTCACAGGAACAATGGTGCAGTTATTTGAAAATTCTCCTATTTCCACAAAGTAGGTTACCGAGCTGTCATCGTGAAAGACATTTTCGTTAGAAAAGGATGGCAGAATCATCCGAATAGAGCTTATCATTCATCCCCAGACTCAGCTTCGATAGCTAGCTAACCGGAGGTTGAAATCCCGACGTATCCCTTTCGATGCTGTGAAACCGTTCATCCTTTGCCTATCTTTGAGTAAAAGTTGGAGCGTAAGACAGGATAAATGGATGAAGAAATAGCAATACTGTTCAATAAAACACTTTGGAGGGATGTTCAGGGTGTTAATTCCGTTCGATAGAGCCTAGGAAGGTTGATTGCTTGGAATCTGTTCCAGGAAGGTACACTTGACAAGGTGTCTGTAACTGCATTATGTCTCGAAAAAATGTTGTGTGTCTGGAGTAGACTGAGTAATGCCATTCAGTTATTGTGACTTTCGAGGACATCATGTGTCTGAAGATGAGTTTAGATGAAAGATTGGAGGTTACTTAACTGTTAATAGGGCGAATTATTAACCTTTCACAGTGTTGAAAGCTCTATATGCTACAACAAGTAGCTAGTTGTTCCTTGAAGAGAGTGCTATGCTTCTATCCGATGTTCTACAACCTTCTCTTCAGGGATTCCAAAAATTATCAAATATCATTCACTTTTTATGTAGGGATCCGCTGCTTGCAAAGTCGGAATCGCGTACGGTGATAATAATGGGTGCTTTGGTTTCGAGGCATGCAAGCGTAGTTGAGTTAACGATACTGTCCTTCACCGTGGTAAATCATGTCTTTGTTTTCCTTGAGCGAAAATAGCATGTAGGAAAAAGCTGACGTAGTCGGTTCTGACTCAACATTATCGAATGTTTACAGTAATACCATGTCTTTAGCATCTTTGGAAAGCAAGGTCCAGATGTTGAAGTTGAGATCCTGTGTCCGGAGTGGCGATCAAACAATCATCAACATATACATGTACGAGGTCAAGGTCTTCGAAAAATGTCGGTGAATCATCAGAAAGCGAAGCGTTTCCCAAAGCAAATGGCCTACAAAAATCCTCAGTGTCTGAAAGGCTTGGTAGTGGGAGTTCAAGGAATGCAGTTCACAGATATAATTATTCGATTATGTTCTTGAAAATAGCGTTCATAATCTTCTAGATGGCAGACGTGGGTATTGCACAGATTTTTATCTGAACGTTACCGGTCTATAACGTAATAAAACCCAAAGTCACGAATTGTAGAATGAATGGAATTTTTAGATAATACATCGTGTTTGAAACTACGAGCTTGAAATAACTAATCACCTCGGCTTTGTGAAAAATGGTTTGCTTATAATAGTCATCAGCCTTTGACTTTTTAACTGAAATGAGGGAAACCATTTCTTCCTGCTTTCAGTCCACAGTCTCTTCTGGATTTAGTGTTGCGTTCTTCAGTTTCATATTCAGCGGAATCCTAACCACCAGAATTTATGAAATCGGTTTTATATCATTTTTACTTCTGTAAAACATTCCTGCTTTCCTGCCTTAATTAATAGGTGGTTCCTGATTGATGCTAAGAATTGGGTTCATCAGAGACTCTTGCTTTGTTACTCTCTTGGATCGTGATTTCAGCTAGACACGCTTGAGAATATCAGTCTTTCATCTTCTGTAAGGCCAGTTTGGTATACTGACCTCGTATCTTTCTGAGATGATTGTATCTTTAAATTCTCCTTGGTTGATTGTATGAATAATATCTTTCGTCCCGATGTGATTTGTCAGCTACATTTATCATTGAGATAACGTCTGACAAAAACCTCCCGGGATGGATTGTTACATAACCTTAGACACCCGAGAATATTACGACTGTTGAAAGCTGTGTGTATTTTATTTTCACAGAACTTGCATTACCAAACTTTGTATCAACAGCGTGATGTGGATCTTACCATCAAATGGTTTAAAAACAGGAGACATACAGTATTCATATAATAAATGTAGTTATGATCGACAATGTAGCCTAAATTAATTCACATACGTTAAAATCAGTTGGTCCAACTTGTTATTATTGATAAAGGGGGAAATATTTCTTTGGTTAAGATAAGTACCATAATCTTTTAAATAGCCGGCATGATAGAGAGCTCAAAGTTCGCTATTTCACCCCCATAATGTTTTTAAAATTTAGATTGTGAAAAGAAAATTTATTAACACTTATTTTTAATAAAACTACTGCATTTGATTGTGATAAACTTGTTCCAGTACATAGTTGACATACCCGTTTACGCTTGTTTCAGTCTTTACAACCAAGCGCCATTAACTCTATTTTGCGCTAGTCCAAAGATGGCCTGTCCTTTGGTGATAAACAAGAACTCAGTTAAAGCTTTGGCAGCATGGTGGCTTTCTAACGAGTCATCTTTGAATTATGTAGGGCTTACACCAAAAAGCGGACGTGGGAAAGTGTACATTGATATGCACAGTCCAGGTAATTAACATACTTTGTAGTTTACCAGATAGGGATCATTGTTGGGATGCCGTTCGTCGATGCCATTCTAAAAGAAAGCAGTTGCGAAATAGAATGGCATGTATGCGAGGGTCAGACAGTAAAATCCTGTCCTGTAAGAGTTGCTACGATCAGTGGGGCTGATGAAGATGTTTTCTTTTGCGAAAACTTAGTTATTTCGGTCCTTTCGAGAGCCAGTGGGATAGCAACCTTGGCCAGCAGGTAATTTCAGCTCATAGTCTGCTTAAGCATTTAGAATCCAATTAATTCTACAGGAAGTTTCTTGGAAGGGGACAATATATATGCCTGATAGACGGACACCGGGTTTTGGTCTTGTTGAAGAGTATGCAATGATGATATCAGGAGTTTCTGAACGTAAAGCATCAGTTAGCGTTCGCTGCCAAAATATGGATGCCGAGAGCTTAAAAACTGTATGTAGCTTAAGTAATTCTGACTTTTCCTAGGCCATAGATGAAGTTCGGTCTAGAGTTGGTTCTATTCCCGTTCATGTTGCCTGCTCAAGGTTAGATGAAGCCTGTTTAGCTGCTGGAGCTGGAGCAGACATATTACTTACTGGTTTGAGTGCTAAGGTACTTGTTTATACCTGGTTTATAATGGTTTTAGGAGATTTTAGATATTGCTACTCAAGTGAAAGAATCATTCCCAGAAATTCAGGTTATCGCTAGCGGCTTTTTTGATGACTCAGACGTAAAACTGTGCGCAACTCGCTATGTGGATCACTTAACATCTCTAAAACTGTGCAACGGTTATGCTTTTGTTGACTTCCAAATGGCGTATGTTAAAGACAAACTTGTTGAAAATGCAGAAACTACGAATTTCGTAGTCTTACTAGAAGAAAATGAATCGCCCTGTAAGTCACTTCACTTATTTTAGACGAACTATAAAGAGTTTTGAGGGAAAACTACGGATACTAATTAACATAAATATGTCTTAAACAGACATCAAGTTTTGAGGAAGACCGAGCCTTTGTATTGCTAGGTCATTTGTTTCTGACTAGTCTCTATGTAGCTTTATTGTGTATATAATAACACATGCGCTCACCAAACCAATTAGTTGCTTTGTTTGGGTATGATTTGCATGGTTAACGGTAGACATTTGAGTTCCCGACTAGACGTACTGAGAACAACTGTCCCAATTTATTTCTTAAGCGTTTGTAAGCCATCTATAGTAATTTGACTCCGTTACTTAATTTTTTTAAAATTCGTTTTTGGCTGATGTCATAGTTCACTATCGTTTCTGTAACAAAATATTAACTCAGTCCAAGTGGTATTTAGTTGAATTTACTTAACTGCTGTTATCTGTTAAGTTTTGTTAATTTTATTTGGTACACTAGAATCATATCATTTTAGTTCAATGTGCAAAATGCATTCATAGTTTTACAAAGTATTAATACCTTTAAGTATAGTCAGTCTTTGGTTTAATTTCACCAGTAAATTGACTCGGTTTGGTTTATAAAACTGGTTAATTTCTACGGTTTCATTCGGATTTTTATGTGTGAATTATCCATAAAACTGCTAAAAGCTACATGCATTAGCCATAAGTTTTGGTATTTCATTACTCTACAGTCTAAATTAACGATTGAACGTAAGGTATAATCTTAAGTTAGACTATGAGGTTTCCTTTTTTTACCATTGTCTAACAATTCATCGCGTGTATTGTATAATTTTTTCTTGTTCCAAGACGAGAAATGATTGTTTTGTCTCACATTTCATGAAACAGTTTTGTTAGTGTCTGAAAACGTGTTACATCGTAATTCTCAGCTGAATTAGACTTAGAAATTACCATTTTGTCCCACAAGTTAAGTCCTTCTAAACAATATTCAATAATTCAATTTAATAACTATGCTTGTAATACTGTGTGTAGACGTTTTTTATTAGTCTTTGAAGTGGCAAATGTTAAATATGATAAAATGAGCCATTACTGTTTAGTCTCACACTAGTTTGCCTTATCCAACATGTATGAGTTTTTGGTTTTTTGAACTCAGGTCAGCAGCAAATTGTATTTTAATCCGGTATTTATCAAGTTTTTGGTGATACTTAAAATTATTTGCCATATAATATCACGACTTTTTTGTTTTTTAGGTATCATATGTCAATAATTCAGAATAAGAGTTCGCTTCAGTACATTTAATTATATCTGGTCATTGTGATTGATAGGAATTGAAGACAAATTTCCATAACTAAATAAATTCCTTCGTAGATCTTTTTCCTATGACGTAGTGATGGTAATGTTATGAGGCACTAAAACTCATTGGATTATGTTTTCTTACAAAGCTCTGTAGTTGTATACACCGGTTTTCAAAATGTATTCAAATATTTCTTTGTAAGATTAGTAAAAGCTCTTTATTAAACATTTTCACATTCGTCCTGCTTATACAGGGTGGCATAGCCTTCACACTGTTCCTTACCAACTTTTTACTTGGTTTCCTAGTATTCTTGTTTGTAGGACAGAGCTTAGGTTTTTTTTAGAAAATGTTCTTAATGTACCATGCATTTGTAGCTAACATTTGAATTCGTTGCACGAGAATTTATTAGTCGGGTTTATGTAGATTTTTTTATTGACTTATTGTAAACCACTTCCTGCTGTAAATTAAATATATTAACATCTCCATCAAGCAGTTGAATGTTTCCTTGTCGCTTATAGCTCCTCCAAAATCAAAATCACCAGGCCCTCAACCCACTGAAGAAGTGGCTAGGTAAGAAGGGTTTCATTGTCAGATTTTTTAACCTTTGTTTCGAAATTTTAAACCTTTTTATTAATCTGATTAATAGGTAAATCATATTTAGACTATTCTAAGCTTTTATTCAAATCTAGTAAATAACGTAAGCATTGTATATTTTAATATGGCGACAAACTAGTGGCGATATTTGTCTTTAGTAAGCTGAAAACTAATAAGCTGTTTTACAGGTAGTAGGTTAGACAGAATGTCATGTTGCTTTGCATTCTAAGGGTTTTGCTTTCCCATCCGTGTGGTAGGATAAGTTACTGTATTTACTTAACATTGCTTCATCATCCATAGTACGTAGTAATTCAAGTAATATGTCACTATAGATAATTCCCAGTAGTAGTAGTAGCAGTTTTTTTTTTACAAATATTCGATGTAATTTAGATAAGGAAGTAGTAGATTAGCGTTCAGTTAGTTCTGAATGTTGTTTCTATTCATTTTATTGTTATGATAATTTTATTATTTAACTAAACTAATAAACTGAAAAGATAGTGATCTTTTGGGTTTTTGGAAATTTAACTTTCTTACTAACATACTACACCGTTCCCAGCTCAATTCCTGCGCCATTAAAGAAGCCCCGCTTAGTCGATGATGAGGGCGACACCCCTAAATCAGCTAAGCTCAATGGTACTCCAACTCGCAATACCAATCCGACGGCCCCAGATCCGAATTGGTCCACTTTTCCCAATGCAGCTAATGCACAGAATCAGAAGCGTGTTCAGCGAATTCTTCGACATCCTCAGTACACACCAGTAAGATTGAAATGATTTGGAAATTATTGTAAGCATGTCAGTCTTAAAATGTTTGAGAGATTAGTTCACGGTGCATTACAGTTTAAATTATTTTGGCTAGTTCTCAGGGGTTTATAAGGAGTTTTTACCATGGACTAATTATTTATTAAGTGAGAAACACCATAAGCTTTTTATTTAAATGTGTAGGAAACTCTACAGCATATTTTTAAAACAAGACGCTATATTGTTTTCAAATAAATTCTTACAGTCGAGTACTTCGGAAACTTTTATAACATTTAGTTGAAACTTCCTTTATTTGAGTGTTTTATCATCTTAAGGCTCTGTTTTTCCTTTGTTCTGTTAAAATGCATTTGAGTAAAATTTCAGTGTATTTTACCAATAGGATACTTATTCATAAAACAACTTTTCAAGTAAAAATTCTCATGTAATGTGTACTTTGTTAATTAATGGACACAGCTCAGATTATTCATTCTTGCAATGCCGCACAACAATTTTTGTTTGATCTCAAGTTATTTCGTGAGTGAAGTGTAATTACATACGTTAAATAGATTAGAATTATAATGACGTACATTTAAATAATGCTAATGTGATATCTATTACTCTTGATACATAGTTTTTACTTTTTTACTAACTGACGTTTAAAATAGGTGGTTAAAAATGGTTTCGAGCATTTTTCTTTTTTGGGAATTATAGTTTATGATTTCAATTCACATTGCAGAGAGCTTATTTCAGATCTAGTGCAAGGTTTTGATATGATTTCTCACTAAGATACCTTATAGTTCTGTCTGAATAGTTAAGCCCATCAATTCATTTTGTAATCTAGGGGTCTGTAACTAAGCTGGAAATCTAAATACATCGCATCCTACTTAAATTATTCTATTCAGTATTTATTCTAGCTTATCTACTTTTATGCATATATTTAAAGTATAAAATATATCTTAAGTACATTAGTTTACTAAAGGGAAATTGTCTTAAATCTTTTTATGCATCTGACTTACCGTTTAATGTGAGATTTTTGAAACAGGACTATTGAGTCTAACTCCGAGTTAAATAAGGATTTAAAGTAAAGTGTATTCACACATTTAGTTCTAAATTTTCATTGGTCTTAGTAGTAAACGCAGATAATTTACGGAAAGTCCAATCAAGTAACCCGTTTGAGAAAGCTATTTTAGTCTAGTTTATGATTTAATTTCCAGCCACAAAGGTCGAATGTTCCTCGCTCACAAACTCCTGGTGGTTTTCCGTTTTTCATGTCGAACCCGCGACTTATGCCTCCAACATCTACGCCAACACGGGCTCCGGCTATGCTCTTACAACCGGGCTTGAATATTAACAATCAGGTGTCAAATGTACTGACTCCTCCCAGCAACCAACAGAATATCAGTATGCGTTTACCCATGGTACCTCCTCAATTGCAACAACCACCACAGTCAATGTCACAACGTATGCCATCAAACCCTCCAGGAATGCTCAATACAAATCAACCTATGGGTGGTGGGTTTTTGAACAATATTCAACCACCTCATAATCAACCACCAAACTGGCAAATGATTCCAGGCGGTCCCGGTGGGCATCCAATGGGCGCGATCGGCTTAGGAATGCGTGTTGGTGGTCCTGGAGGACAAAATGTGAATAATTGCCGGTAAGGAATATTCTCTCTCTCTGTATATATTGTCTAGGTATTTGTCATGTATATAATTGTAACAACAAATTGACGGAACAATCAAACTGTAGCTAATAAAGCTGAGTCTTAGTTACTAAATAACGACTTAAAGTCTCAGATTTTCCGTGCACTGTTTTTTTGCTGCTGAAGTGGTATGTAGGTAACGGTTATCCCTATTGGTTAGTATATCCGAGTTAGAACAACGTGACACAAGTAAATGGAATCGCTTGTTGTCTTACAAATGCTTTCATCGGAATTTCGAAGCTATCCGATCAAACCATAATGTTATAAGTACACTTACATAGGCAGTTGACTTGTTTTTACAGCTAGTTTTTTCCACTTAAATCTCTTCAGATATACTTACATATCCCAATATGTAACATTCAACCAATGAACTCGTAAATCCAACTAGTTAGTTGCTTGGTCTTGATCGTAAACAACCTCGAAATGTGAAGTGTATTCGTTGTCAAAATTCATTTTTCAGATATGAACAATTTAAAATTAACTCGTCAAACCTTTCCAATATTTGTTTCTTAGTTTTATTTGAAAATGCAAAAATATGAAATCGTTAACTGGTCAGTACAGACTCGGCTTAATATGGGAATTTTATCATTTTGTATTTTTAGGTCATGTGGTTTTCCGAACCCTCCATCAATGCCTTTTTGTCGAAACTGTCGTTCTGGTCTTCGGTGAATTTAAGGGTCCTTTATGTTATTGGTGCTTATTTACTATGTAATCTGTGTTTACACATTTCTTTTCATGCAAATAGTAATCGGGAACTTTATGCCAAAAGAAAATACTTTATCTTTGCAGCTAACACGTAAACTCACATAATTACCCACCAAATACGTCAAGAGAGGCATGTGGTTTTTCTCTTTAGGACGGTTATTCCGTAAAATGCTGGTTATTAAACGTCAGTTTTTAGAAAAATAAGGCCTACCATAGCTTTTATAATTCTAAGTGTTTCATTGAGTCACCATTTCTTAGATAACCACTTAAGAGAAATGTTATATCATGATCATCATGAATGTAGTCTGGTATCCAAGAGGGATTGGGATTTGATTTATAGTTGTGTAATAATGATAAAACTTTTGTGAGGGTGTTGTATTTATTTCTAAGAAATAACTAGCCCCAGGTTCAATGATAGGGATAATATTGACACGGTTTGTATGTAGATGTGTTCACAGGGAACCCTCATAGTTGTCGTTTTGGGATTGAACAATTCGAGTACCTTACCAGTGGACCTACTAATTCTTAGGCGTAGAAAATGGGAGGCAGTGACTGCTGAATTACCAGCAGCTGAAATACGTTTTGCTAAGCACTAATTATTACGTCGGGACTGCAAGGCACTCGAGAATACTAACTCAACAATCCTTTTCGTTTGGACTGACGGTTATCTAAACATTAGTCATGAACAGCACTTCAGCTCTAGTCGAAAACGTGCTGTGTTCATACACCGAATGTGCTAAAAAATCACAAGAGTCTTAACACCAAGACAATGAAAAATAGGCTCTTTACATATATATTTTTATTGGGATAGTCCAACAGAGTTCAAAAAATGGGGTAACCGTGATATTCTTTTCTGCCACCACAAGGAGGTGCGCATTGTCTTTGTAGGACGGGCAACTATTAGAAACGATGACGGCCGGGGGTTGTACACAAACTTGGCAAGATCATGTCCTTTGCCCTCCGTTGCTAAGTGACGGGCCATTAGGTCATAGATCATCGTGCGGAAGCCGCAGTTACATTTTAAATATCCTCTAACAAATAGCCCTGCAGGTACATGCTCGTTTCTACATCGCTTTGTATGATTAGTTGATGAAGAACATGGATCGTAAAGTGATGCACTGACCATGCTGAGTGATTGTGTTTCGTGTTGTGCAGCAGTGTTGATATTCATGTGCCAAGGTTGTGTATCATTAGGAACAGAGAACTGCTGTATGGGTGGCGCACAGTGAACTTTGCTCCAATGCCAATTAGCTGCAACGATACATGATGTAGTGTATTTGCATCTAGCACAACTTAGTGTCATGTTGAAATGCTTATGTACTGGGTGACGTACCTGCTCTCCGCATTCTAAACACTTCAATCTTGTGCGCGGTGTGTGCGCAACTAGTTGATTTGAGTAGGAAAGAGACAATTGGTCATCAGGTAAATGAGACGAAAGTTCACAAGCACTATTTTCGCAACTAGGCTTTGATAAAGGATGTCCAGAATGGTTTAAATACTCGTGCCACTGAAGATCCCTTTTATGTGTGAAGTCGAGACGACAAGAGGTACATCGATACGTAGTTTGCTCCCAATGTTGCCGAACGTGGATGTAAAACGCCTGTGCATCAAATGTATGTAGTCCCAGATCTATACTCATCAGAATAGACAATTCAAAATGTTTTAGACAATATGGACAGAATATGTGGTTCGTTTTATGGTGGCAGTCACGAAAGTGAGATATCAATTCACAGTAAAAAGATGATCTGAATCCGTAACATATTGTGCACACATAAGGCGAGTCTAAATACACATGTCTTTCGTATAAATGTACAGCAAATTTTATAAGTGATACAAAGTTACTTTCACAAATAGGACACACAAAGCAACCATCCATTAGTGCCAGAGGTGTATGCTGTTCTACATGCCGATGGATCCAATGGTGTGAGGTCATAGTGATTCCATTTGGCACGGATAGGCACTCTGTGCAGAATTTGAAAGACATTAGCGAACCAAGTTCGAGTTCATTCACCAACAAATGTGCTAAGATATGCTTTAGAAACTGAACATTATCTAAATGGTTCCCGCACGACGGACAGTGTACATATCCATGAAGAGAAATGAAGGGTGAGACAGTCTGAATTTCTTTGAGTGTACAGTAGTACTTTGACCATGTTATTTTGGGTTGGACATTGCACAAGCTGGATAAAGCTGTCATCACTACTTAAGATTAGCTTTCATTAGTTACAAGTGCCTTGTGCATCAAATCAAAAGCTGTTCGGGATCATTTCAGTGGCTGATGTGTAAGTGATACGACCGAATGTTCGTAATTTTGAGATCTGAGAAATATTTAAAGTGTAAGGGGAATAATTAATGAAGATTAACTAAGTAAAATGCTAGGCAGTGTAGCTGTTTATTAAGGTCGGAAAAATATAGGGTTAAGTCTCACCATTCTAAAATTAAGGGATTGTCGTGGTTATTCTACCAAGAAATTGGTGAAATGAATATGATAATTGAGAGTACGGGCCTGCTACGTTACGGAAATGTGTGTCCGGACTTATAGATATGGGTGTATCTCAAATGTCTTATTAGCAATCTAAAAACCAGTTGCGCAATAACTCCCTTAGAGTGAAGATTTTTGGTTGTCTTTACATTGTTTCGAACTAAAAATAAGAAATCGTGGTATCAATAATGTAATGAGCAAACAAATTGTATACGCCCAATACCTTTAGAACACTGGTCGAATATGTACTTCTCAATGCATTCTAAGTGAAGATTAACAAAGATTTATCCTAAAAAGTTCAAGTTCGATACCGTAGCTGGAAATATGAGTGGGAAGTGACATAATATGTACGAAGTCGGCTGTCACTATCGAATTGGATGTGTTTAGTAAATCTGTAGCTACTCAGGCACAGTTTTAACACTTGGGATTTTTGATTCCTTTATGTATATTGTACATATAAATTAGTGCGTCCAGTGAATGGCTGGAGTCTATGTAAACTCACAGTCTATTATTAAAATGAATATTAATTTGGTAGCATGATGACTTCTCGATGAATGCTCTCAATCTTCCTTCAGAAATTAAGCTGTTTGATTCTTCACTTCACGGTAACGTGATGTAACCTTAGTTTTCGGAAACGACGGGTTTCGTTTTTAACAAACCTACGACGATTTCTAAACTTCAATGGTTGTCCGTCTAATGTCGAAGTTCCAGTCAGTAAGCTTCTAACTTATTTTTTATATTCACTTGACTCATCTCTGGGGGGTAATCCACTTTTGCATATCAGAGTAGTTACATTAAATCACTAATACATATTATGCGAACGCGTAGGCTACACTAAACTGGCGTTGTGATTTGTCCAAAAGACAGTTAAGACTGAAGACCTCTATGACATAATAGTTGCTTAGCTTGTCAAGTACTCATTGGTTAATATCCAAGGTTACAAGAAAGATGGAACATCGATAAAGTAAACTTGAGACGTAGGAAAATCCGAAAACAAGCTTGCAGACAAACAGATGAGGAAGTTGTCATACTAGATAAATGGCTTGGAAAACAAGTCAGGTAAAAAGGATGAATGGGAAACAAAGGGGAGAGCAATGATAAATATAGTAAACCGACTAGTTTGCACAGCCAGAACCCGCATGGTAAGACTATAATTCACAGACGACCTTGAGCTACTTTTAAGCCGGTCAGAATTCAGGTGACACAAATGAACAATTAATTACAGAAAACACAAAACATCAGAACGTTATATAGCTTCTACACAATCAATTAACTTGAATGGACCCACAATTGGGTTATTTGTGATAGGATCGATGTAGGTGGGAAACAAGAACGCCGTAGATACGACCTTAGACTATTTGTCTTCTTTATTGTAAGATGGTCTATAAATCATGACCAACTTGATTGCACATCCAAATGCGGGCATCAGTTACAGGTCAGACAAAGTGCAGCTCACAACCGGTGGTCACAAAATTTACACTCTAGTTGTTCTTACAGATGGCAACTTCTGAATAATTATTCTGTTGGACATGTTATATAGTACAGATAGGCTTGAGATACAGCGATTGTTTCTATAGTCCCCTAACTATGTCAGGGACGGTCAACTAATATTTGGCGTAGCCAATCCATTGTGCATTAGGAGTTAGTTCCCTTTATTAACTAGCCTTCTTACTAACATCACATCGACCGTCTGTTTGCAAAACATACATGTCTAACAATCTTAGGTAGTTTATAGTGTAAGTAAGATTAAATGACTTCGCTCTTTAGACAGTACTAACCAATGTCATAACATTTCGGAATTCGCGCAAAAAATGTAAACTGTTACCTTCGATCTGATTGGTCTGTCTGTAAAGTATCAAGTCAGCGCTTTTATTAATATATCAAGCTGAGTAATTTCTTGGTAGGAGTAGCGTATATGGGCAACCTTGAAGTACCGTCATAGCCACCGCGAAAGGTACTTGGCTATGAAGTAACTCATAAACATGTAGTAAGAAAAATAAGATAGATTAATTTTTTCAATAAAAAAATCCGTGTTAAAACAGATTACAATATGGTGGGCCATTTTATATAGATTATCAAACTCTCAGTGATGAATTTCAGCTATGGAGCCGCTAACACGTCATATACAATTCTCAGTAGTCATTCACTGACAATAAGCTGTTATACTAAAGATAACGTACAAACATGGCTACTGATAACTTCAGAGTGGTTGGTTTATTTTAAGTTGGAGATAACTCGAATTTGGGTCAACTTATTCGGATGGTTAGAACTGGAAAACGAGTGATAAATCAATAAAGTTTTAAATAAAATGCGTAGTCAATTCGAATTCGACTGACGTCCAAACAGCAGGAGGACTAGTCGTACTTACCGTCGGGAGGGAAACAAACGACCTTGAGGGCGAAATGCCGCGGTCAGCATCTAACGCATCGAATCCAATATCGTGTATTAATAAATAATGTTTTGGGGCTCGCGTTTTAGTGCTGAGGGGCGCTTCTCGGTCGTTAGTGGGTTTCGGTATACATTGGCAGTTCATTTTTCTGACAGTAACGAATTCGATTATTCTGTATTATGTTCCCGTTCCATATATGTTTTCAATGGCATATATCGAGGGAACTGAAAGGAAGGGTAAGAAAAAGAAATGAAGAAAAACAGAGCAGACGTTGTTCACACCTACTGAAATTGGGTCATTTTTGGCGGAAAAATTAGCATATGACTCTTTAGTCCAGTTTTCTTTTATTAAGGTACTTTTTAAGCAAGAGCACTCTAATAAGTTGAAAAATGCAAGCGTAAATATTAGTATAACTGGACAATGAACTGTATAAATGGATGTGGTTCAAAAAGACTCTGGGAGCATAGGAATATATGTAGTTTTAAAATAAAGTACTGAAAGCAGTATTCTGATACACAAATGTCTATATCCCTTCTTCGCCAAAGCTATTTTCGTTCTTTTTTCTATTAATGTGGTTTTTTAAGGTCATGTGCAGGCTTCGTTCTCAGCGAATTATCTAGTTTTGCTTATAATAGGATTATTCGGTGGGAAATGAAACCGATTCGGCATTACGAACATGATATAAAGACTTATTTTGTACAACGAATAAGCATCAATACCATTTGTTCTTGACATTCCACTGGACCATAAAGAGCTGAAATTAAACAAAGTGTCCTGACCTACATACATGGGTGGATTGTAGTTACCTCCACACCATCATAAGACCTAGGAGCCTTTGACAACAGGCGCCTGGCACTTGCTCGAAGCTCCAAGGTTTTACTGATTATGGCCCTCGAATCTTTATAACCAGTCACCATAGGTAATGCTGTTTCCCTTAGTGTGTAAAAATATAGGTCTTCACCATAGCTAGTTTGCAATAATTCATTATTAGGAAAATTTACCACTTTGCGAAGGATGTTCAATCACCATCAATTCCCTCACCCCACCAGTGGATTGAAATCTTTTCATATTCGTATATTATCGGACATGTTGTAAGCTAACAACTTTTTTAACATAGATGATGAAAATTGGAAGTGATGACTTCACAGAGTTGTATAAATCATTTATACAAAATATTAAACGGGGCTTAGCATCATCACTCGGATATCTTCTTTCTTTGCAAACTTTCAAACTGATGAAGAACGGTTTTTTCCAACTCATTGCCTTCAGCAGATGAAAAACTCAATTATACAGCTTCTTATCCGATAACTTATTCTAAAATTCTCCGGATTTAATTAAGGTCCTATGTTAGAGGATTTGTTTTAGTTTTTCGCTACATATATCAAAATTACTGTGAGATCTATAATTATAAGAATACTAGTAATTCCGTGTCTTCTGATTTATTGGCATTTGCTTTTCAATCCAAATATAAACATATTACGAATGTCGAGAGTTTGACAACGCTGTTGTTTGTAGCACCTTTTTAATTGAGGCTCCCGAAAGAAGCCAATCCAAGAGTCAGGAATGAAGGAATTGAATGATATATCGGGATGGCTGATGCTTCGAGAAGTATATGTTCTGATTAGCCGTCGAGAGATATGTGAAACACAGTCTTTTCAAAGGTGATCTGATGAGAATGCGTGACAGGGAGCCTTTGGCTAGGGCGAGCCCAGTAAAACCAAGAAAGCCAGCTTCAATGTCGAAGACCTATGGAACTGATTATTTCGGGGGCTTATCGATCACTAAAAGACAATAATAGTCATTAACGTTCATCCGATCTCGCACAAAAAGTCACAAAAGCGGTACTATCATACTAACTATAAGTATAAAATAAGCAAAATATACTTGAAATACATTTCCATAGGGTACTGATGCCAAAAATAACATCACCCTGTACATTCAATCCAAAAGATATTAAACACTAAGACCATTTCATACATATTTATAGGAACATCTGACTATTACTATGCATCCATCTCTCTTGGAGTTAAACGTTCCCTTTCAAAAAAGGACAAATCAAAGATGGAAGTCCTTCCCTAGAAACTTGCTGTTGTCTAGCCGAAATGTTAATTTTCTTTCACAAGACTTTGACTGCTATCCCGAATAACCGTTTACATTATTTTCACAACTATACCAGTTATTCAGACTGAATGGTTGTAATTAATAAGTATTTACTCCCTAGTCTTGTATTCCGTATAAATAATTGCATCTTCCTAACCGCCCAACAGTTTACATCGCTTCATATACATGTCAAATAATATTATTAGTTGTCTGGTAAGTTTGTCCGCCAGTAGATATTCAGAGGTACTGATCGTCAAGCATACAATCCTTGAAACCAAACATATGATAACTGAGAGAATCCGCATTAGACATTGAAGACAAAGAGAAAGTCAAATATAGTGAACACGGAAGAACAGAGTTGAGGTGATGTGGCTCAGTTATCGAAATGAGTTCACTAACTACAACCCCTTATTGTATAATATGAAACTTATTACTCTAATTCTGTCCCAATTGTTTTATACAGAATTACTTAGCTGCAACTACTGGATGTTAAGGCAAAACACACCAGTATAGATGATGAATTGATTTTGAATCGGAGTCTGAAAGATTAAGTGGTCACATTATTTTAGGTCCAGAATTTTAGATTAGGTTTATCGTTCTGTTGGTAAAGATAAGTGCACTAGTACCGACCTAGACATTATTCCTAAACATTAACAATTTGGGGTCGAATATTTTCAGCATCTGTCGACTTGTCTTGTTTAAGTTGTTGTGGTTGTCAAACGATAATGTCTTCTTAAAGAGGTAATAAATATTAGAAATAGTTCTCAAAATTATTTTGACAAGACTTTAGCGTTATCAAAATCATCGTTTTGAGGTATCAATGGACTTTTATTCATTAGAGGTGGAAGGCTATAATCACTCCTCTGAACTCGTCTCTATGTATGAGCTCAAAGTTTTGAATCTGCTTTGGAAGTCGCTAACCAACCACTTCCCGTAGGATAGTTTGGTTGTAATTGTACGTTCGAAGTAAACCTTTGTTTCTCAATTACCATATAAAATCAGACAGTCACTGAAGTTCAAAAGAACACTCCCTGATGGCCGAAATTCTTGCTCCTCATAGACTTTTGAGGGGTTGAAACTGATAGTATGTTGTGTCAATGGCCCCTAATAAGTCTGACAAAAAAAGCATCTGGGTTTCTATCAGCTATCAGTGAAGGAATTTACAGACGAGTTATCGCCTCGGTTTTATGGCACAGTATGGAAATCACAATTTTGGACCAAAACAAGCGGGTTTGTTAACATAGTACCCTTAAACAAGCTCTTTAACAGTCGTAAGGAGCATAGGATCGAAAGTATTACAAAGTTAATAGTATTTAAGAATCCTGTTTAAAGAATAGAAATTGGTCATTATAGTTAGTTGACAATCACGATACAGATTCGTTTATTGAGGTGATGATCACATGCATAACGGATACAGCGATCTATAAAAAATATCTAATTTGGAGATGCGACATTGAGCATGTCAATCTCATTTTTGTTTATTTATTTGAACACATAAATATTGGTACAAAGGGGGACCAAATACCTATGCACTACAAAATGACAATGAGAGTGTGAAGAGATTGAGAATGCAAAGTGCGTATAAGAAAAAAGGAGAGCAATAAAGAACAGAAGTTAGTGTATGATAGTGAAATAATAATAAATGGAGAGGCTTTTCAGCTGGCAAAGGTACAACCAGAATGTTGACGATACCTTTGTCATCATCAAAAAGACATTCCTAAGAACTTTCTCTGAAATGATTAATACACTCTCATATCACATCAAATCCACTTTCGGAAATAAAAATAAACTCGTTGCGCATTCATTTTTAGGTTGTTTGTCCAAAATAGACCCAAGTGGAACTCTGAATCTAACCGTCTATCATGAACCACCACGCTTTAATTCGACACATTTATTCAGTGAAAATATCCATGGAGAAGAGAACGAGATAAAGACACCTAAAGAGGACAAGCAAAAGGAAAAGAAAGCTATAATTAACATCGGACAATTTACTAGTCTTCCTATGAATAATATTAAAATACACTAAAATGGAACTATTTATTAATAAATTATTATATTTTTAATGTCAATGAGTAGAAAAATAAGATTTTCGGACGTTTCGCAACTCAGTGCAAGCCACTTCTTCAGAAAATAAATAACCGAAATAACATTAATCCAAGTTAAAATAGTACAACGGAACAACAGGAATATTAAGTGATCAATCAAAAAATAGGTCTCAATAAATCAATGTCATGCCATTTCATTTCAGTCAGAATGATTCATAAATGGCATGTATGTAATTTTGCGTGTACGTATGCATTGTTAATGATGAAAAAAGTGTGACCGTTATAATGATAAAGGAAAGAGTTTAATTTGTAATGTAATGGTGTGAAATTGTAAATAATATCAGACTAGGTGACTAAGGTAGATATTCCAAGTAGGGTGTACAGTAAGAAATTCTTTTCTATTGAGAGCAGTGTTATTAAGCATTATATGGAAAGCTTCAGCTACTCTCCTTTCTTTGTAATTGGAAAAACCTTTCTGTAGTATTTCGATATTTTTGAAATCAATTTGATGATTGCTGAAAATGGCGTGAACTGCTATTGCTGACTTAATTTGAAGTCCATCCAGCTCTACAGGATTATTAGGTTTCTTTGTGTACCTAATATGTTCTTTGGCGCGAGTCAAGATTTCGCGAGATGACTCTCCAATATAGAAGGCATCACAATCGATACAACCTAATTTGCAGACGCAGTTCTGTGTCGACATGAATGGGATTTTTTCTTTTAATCGAACTAAAGTATTTCGAAGTGTGTTCGTTGTTTTGTAATATACTTTAATTCTGTGTTGTCTTAAGACCCTTTGGAGTTTTTCAGTTGTGCCATGACGGTAAGGTAAAACTGCAGTACCAATCCATGGAGTTTCATTCGAATCATTATTATTATTA